TGTGTGTGTGTGTGTGTGTGTGTGAGAGAGAGAGAGAGAGAGAGTGCATGCTTGGTGGGGTAAAGAAAGCATACACAGCACTTTGGAATGACAGGAAAATAAAATCTTTTGACACGTACTTAATTACAGTGCACACACTACACTGATACACTTTTTTCACATCAGCACCTAAACATTGACCTGCCCCAACCCTCCTATCCCCCACAGAGACAGGCAGACACTTACCATATGCAGATACAATCGCATGGAGCATATGCACATGAAACGTGCTCACACACTAAAATATTCAGCAAACCCATCTCCACATGCCGATTACTGTGGCATTTGCTTACTGCAGTATTCTTTTGCCCCATGGTAGTAAAAACTCATAAAGGCAATTGTTTCCTCACTGCACAAATATGAGCTGAAATGAACACTTACCTTAAATGATCTTAAATCTAGTGTTCAAAAACTGTGTGAAATTGTGAAGGGAGTGGAACCAAGTAACTGCAGAAATTATAAAACTTATTATGGTGGCATATTATGGTGAAATTTATAAATAATTTCAAGTGCATTAAGACAATACACATATTGATGAATGATGATATTTTGTACATATTGCAAAAACAAAATGGACTTTTTACTTTTTACTTAAGCTTAATCATAACTTAATTAAAAACTAAATGGCAGCTTTATAGCAGTGACTCTGTGACACTGATGTTATTGCATATGACATTTGAAGGAGGTGGTGGAGGAGGAGATATTTTGTATAGCATGCAGCTATTTTTCAACTCTTCAGTAAAATCATGAGTGACAAATGAGCCACTTGATTATGGTACTTCAACATTTCTTTTGTAAATCTGTTTCCATTTCACTGTGTCACACAGCCAAGAAGTTGAAAACCATACAGCTTTTTAAAATTTAAATTCCTACTTGTATTATTCTTGTATTATTCTCTAACAATGAGAAACAACACCGAGAAGTATCTTTGTGCAAGGTGGATAATGTTGAGCACTGCAAGAGCTACAAAGTGACCTCCAGCATGCCACTGGTGTGAATGCCTCTGACCAAACAGTCAGAAACACACTTCATGAGGGTGGTCTAAGGATCCAACATCCTTTAGTGAGTCCTGTGCTCACTGCCTGGCACCTTGGAGCCCGTGTGAAAGTGAGGAGGAGCCGGGAAAACGTTATGCCAGTAATGACATCATTCAGCATGACCAATATGGTAGTGGGTCAGTGACAGCCTGTAGAGGCATATCCACAGAGGGATGCACAGATCTCTGCAGGCAACAGCACCAACTGCTATTAGGTATCGGATCATACCTAATGGCAGGTAGGACCCATTGTCAGACCCTGCTGTAGTACAGTGGGTCCTGGGTTCCTCCTGGTACGTGACTGCCCGGCCTCATGTGGCAATAGTATGCAAGCAATTTCTGGAGGATGAAGGAATTAATTCCACTGACCCCCATGCTCACCTGATATAAATCCAACAGAACACCTATGGAACATTTTGTTTCTGTCCATCCGATGCTGCCAGGTTGCACTTTAGATTGTCCATGAGCTCAGTGATGCTCTTGTCCACATCTGGATGGAGATCCCTCAGGACACAAAATGGGGGTCCTACAAACTACCATTTTGAGTTGCTGCAGTGAAATGTAAGCAATTTCACACTTTGATTTTTGGGGCGTCTTTGAGTTCAGCTCTCTGTAGGTTGACCATTTTATTTTCTATCGAACAATGTGGCATCCTTTCAACCCATTTAACACATTTCCCAATCCATATCGGTGTTTCTATCCAGCATGATGTTTTGCCCTTTGAGATCTGATGTGTTTTCTAAGTTTCAACAGTGTCGACATTTTGAGCCTCAGAGTCTTGAATCATAAAGTGAAACCATCGTGAGTGGAGTTCTGTGAGCCTGCGAGCCATTAATCTCCATCCACTCTTGATTTATTTTATGGAAATCACAACATGTTAGCGCTAATTGGAAAGTAATGCATAATGCTTCAAAATGCAGCTTCTGACATATTTGGAATCATTGTTTAATTGTGTGTTGGATGTGTACCTTCTAGAACACCCAGCAGCGTACTATAACACTCCCTCTGACATTTGGCTTCTCATTCACGGTGATTCAGTTCAAAGACAAAGAGGGTGGGCTTGGCGTGCGGTGGCAAGGAAGGGCTTATTCGCTGCATTTAACAATTTTCCCCCTGCTGCTGCCTGTGTGTGCTCCTACAGGCTCAGCTGGAGAGCCACTATTAATAGACTGACTGATGGAGCTGAGCTGAGAAGATGCTCCACCCCACTCATCAGTCCTTATAGCTCTACTATTCTGTTATCAGCCATCTTATTTAAGGGTTTCCAAAGCCAATCCGTAGAGATCGTACTAATTCTCCTCCTTTAGGAAGATTTTAAAGAGTTAGATTTTACCTGAAATTCTGTTTTCATGTTACTTAACAGCTTACAAACCATACACAATGTCAGACAAATTATGTCATCACTTTACAACACCATACTTTAACTTAGAATTATAGAAAGAAAGCCAATCAGCTATGGCGAGTACATACATTGCAAGTGATAGGACAGCAAACAATAGTGTGCTAAAGAAGACATTATTTTTACTAATGGGCGATCACAGTATGGATTGATCTGCATGTTTGACAGAGTTTGGCCTCCATGACACAATTATCCCATTAATCCAGGCCTGGGAGTAGTACTAAGTATATAGAATAGGTTTGTGTCTCCTCCCAGTCTCAAATTGGGGATTTGAGACTGGGAAATGAGTTAACCACTAAACCAGGGTGCCACTACATAAGCAATAGTACATGAAATTGCTTTTTTTTTTCACAACATAAGCCTGACCCACATAGTATTAAAGGGATTTTTTTTTTCAGTTCAAACTGACCTTACCAAGTATCAATATGAAATGGGTTTATGGTGATGACTGGTTGCCAAAACAAGGCCTGACCCAGTGAGGTATAGACTCAACTGAAACACAAAAAACATTAGCTACATAAAAAAAAAAAGAAGCCTGTTTTATATGTTTTCCAAAATAGGGTTAGAGTTAGGATTAATCCAACTCAATAAAAACAGGAGTTTTAGAACCATGAAATGCTACGTAACTGCTGTTTTGTTGCAAACCGTATGTTTTTAAAATTTTTAATTTGTCCAACTATGTTAAACAAACAAAAAAAACACATATTTACATGTGGTAGACTGGTTCTTACATAACAAATTTCTTCAACATTCAACATACAGACTGAAGTAGCCAGGGCTCGACCCACCAGCCTTCCCATTAGTAGATGACCTGCTCTTTCTCCTAATCTACAGCTCCACCAATGAGAAAATATCAAGCTCTGGATTTTGAAGATTGCCAAGTGTCAGATTTTGCTAAAATTTATTTTTATAACGAAACATTCTTTTGTAGAAGCATGCTAGGTTGACATATTAAGATATAATTTAGTGTTAAGTCCTACCTTGATTGTGTTTTTATTACCATCTGATGTTCTGAAACCATATGGTGTTTCTACATTTAAAATTTAGCTCTGGAGCTGATGTGCTCCATATAACTCATGGGCTCACTAAGATCACATCTATATATATTTTACAATTTCGATTTCCCTTCATGTCAACTAATTTATACATGATATTCATACAGTTTTGTGTCAATGTCTTCTGTAGCAAATGGAACAATAATCCTGACATGACTTAATATGGACAATCTTTCAGCTACACCCATTTTAATTTGGTTATCCACTCTTTACGTGTGGAGTAAGGCAGCGGTCCCCAACCCCCGGGCCTCGGACCGGTACCGATCCGTGAGTCCTTTGGTACCGGGCCGCGAAAGTTGAGGCTCAGGTATGAAATGTATGGTTTTCAGGGTTTTTATCAGTTTTCAGCGTTATTTTGTTATCGTTTTTATCGTTAACTCAGTTTTCCTGGGTCTTTTCATGTGTGTTATGAATAAATCTTCTTTTTTTCAGTACCGGTACTAGTTTTATTTTGTTGTATTTATCCGCGACACCTTAAAGGCCGGTCCGTGAAAATATTGTCGGGCATAAACCGGTCTGTGGCGCAAAAAAGGTTCGAGTAAGGTATGGAAGAGAAGAGGGGGTCTGGCTGTGTTTTAATTGATCGATGGTGTAATTCTGGGTGCTTAACTGTAAAAGGGAAGCAGGTAGGAAGTAAGTCCTCTGAAGTAAGGACAATGAGCTTCTAGCTGTTAGCATGAGGGCATATTATCTACCGTGGGAGTTTACACATGTTACCGTTATAACGGTGTGTGTCCTCTCCTGTTATCCAAACTGTTACCAGCGGATTTCAAACACAGTATCTTCAGGCTCTTTTTCTGATCTCTGGGGATTTTAATCATCTCTCCCTGTCCTCTACTCTGCCCACCTTCACCCAATATGTAACCTGCCAAACCAGAGACAATAAAACACTAGACTTATTGTATGCCAACATCACCTCATCACCTCTCCCTCCTCTGAGGCAATCACAACCTGATTCATCTCCAGCCTGTGTATAAACGCCTTGTACACAGAGAATCAGCTGTGTTGCGCACAGTGAAGAGTCTGAGGAGACTGAAGCTCTGAGGTACTGTTTCAGTTCTACTGTGTGGGAAGAGCTCTGTGCTCATCACAGAGAGGATATTGACAGCATAACAGACTAAATCACACAGGGGCATAACACTGTGCCCCTCTTGAAGTTACAGTGTTTTTCCGATAACAAGCCCTGAATTAACCCTGAAATCAACGCTTTCCTTAAGCAGAAGAAGAGAGACTTTAGGTCAGGAAATAAGAAGGAGCTGGGACTTGTGCTGAAGGAGCTGAGAAGGTGGACAACCAACTGCAGTAGAGCAACATCAGTGTAGTTTGGAAGAGGCTGAAAACAATTTCAAATCACAAACCAAACTCCCAGGCTCTAGGAGATTTAGGGTGGGTGAATGATCTGAGGAACTGGTTCAGCTCATTCACCCACCCACAGACACTTACCCCTCAGACCCAATCATCTCTGCTGCAAACCTCCCATCTTCAACGAGTGCCTGCTCTTCTTCCCATGACTATACACCTCTTAGCCATCACCAGCCCCTCTGCTTCAAAATACTCCATCCAATAGCCCACCTCCCCCACCACCATCCTATCCCTTTCAACACAGGTGGGGAACGAGCAGCAAAATATCAGGGTGCTGTGCAGACCAACTGTATGGTACATGTTCAACATGAGCCTGAATCTGGGTAAAGTACCACAGCTGTGGACAACCTTCTGTGTGGTACCAGTGATGAGGACCACACAGCCAAAGGACCTCAGCAGCTATAGGCCGGTAGCGCTCAGCTTGCATCTGATGAAGACCCTCGAGAGGCTGGTCCTCAAACATCTTAGTCCCCTGGTGAGGTCCATTGTAATTCGCCTACCAGCCTACCATTGGAGTGGATGATGCCATATCATCTACCTCCTGCACCAAGGTCTGACCCACCTGGAGACGCGTGGAAGCACTGTGAAGATAATGTTCTTTAATTTCTCCAGTGCTTTTAACATCATTCAGCCTGGACATCTGAGGGACAAGCTAGAGCTGTCAGGAGTGGACCTCCATCTGTCACAGTGGATGCTGGACTACCTCACTGGCTGCCCACAGTATATGAGGTCAAAGGGCTGGCCCTGCAGGGAACTGTGCTGGCATTGTTACTGTTCACCCTCTACACTGCAGACTTCTCCATCAACTATCCAGGCTGCCATCTACACTACAAAAGTCCTCTGATAATTCTGCCATAGTTGGCCTCATTACAGGTGAGGATGACTCAGAGTGGAGACAGTGATTCAGGACTTTGTGGACTGGTGCCAGCGGAACCATTTCCTGATCAATGCAGGGAAAACCAAGGAGCTGGCAATGGATTTACGCAGGTGCAGAGCCACCACACCAACACCAGTGAACAGTGCCCTTTCGTACTGTACAGCCTCTTATTTCTTTTGTATGAATCTGTCACTTTGCTGCTGCAACATTTGAATTTACCAAAATGAGGGATGATAAGGGATATTTCTATTAAATTTTTTATTCTATTCTTTCTACTTGCACAAATTATGTGATTCAACCAGTATGTGGGCTACTTGTGCTTGTGCTTGTGCTGTTGTTGGTTCTTCAGCCTTGCTGGGGAAAAGAGCAAAGGTATAACAAAGAGCTGAAGTGAAACAAAGTGGTAAAAAACAATGAAAAGTGTTCACTGCAACTTCTGGCTGTATGTTTCATGCTTTGTTTTTGAAGGTTTTCTCACGTTCTCTGTGAACTCTGCTGTTCACCAGGAGCGGGATACCTTCCTTCCCAATTTGACAGACACATAGGTCCTCTACTGCTAATGTGTATGCAGACAGACATATTTGCTGAACCATAAATTACGATTCAGTCTGCACCATTTCTCAGATCTGCTCCTTTGGCCTGAAGCCCACCTAATTTGGCTGCTCTGCTCTGGGTTTCACTCCTTTATTTGTTTGCATTAGTACTCCACACTCTTGGCTCTCAGACTTTCAGAATTTCTGTACATCTACAACATCATCATTGGTCTCTAATCAGTATACTGTGTTGCATTATTACCAGACAGACCTATCACTGTTCTTGAGTTTTTCATCACAAACGTTTAACACAACTTCATCTCAGCTTGGATAGTAGTTTGTAACTGGTCTGTCAAATGGAGTCGTATTTTGATAACAGTTTTATAGACTTATTGATCTTATAGCAATTGAGACTATAAGCAAGATTTAACAGCGTCGTACAAGCAAATTATTTAGTCATGGACTGTTTAGCATTTCCTGTTTACCAAACATGCATGTCTCTGGACTGTGGAAAGAAGCAACAATACTTGGATTAAAACCAAAGAGACTTTGGTCTTTAGATTCCTTGTCTTTTTTATAGTACTTAGAATAGAATAGAATAGAATAAATAAAATAATCCTTTAATTGTCCCACAAGGGGAAATTTGGTTGTAACAGCAGCCAAAAAGACACATATACAAACAAACAGTACACAGGACACGGAACAGAAACATACACAATTTCTCTTACATATTTACATTAAGGACAGTGGTTACTATATACAGAGAGTACTGTACAGTTATTAAATTAAATAAAAATAACTACAGATAAGAGGCAAAGCAGGTTGTAGTGCGAATCGGTTAATTAACTTATTGCAGTTACAGCGTAGATGTAAACATCTATGTTTGTTGGGAGCAGTTCTGATTGTACAGTCTGACAGCTGCAGGGAGGAAGGACCTGCGGAAACGCTCCTTCATGCATCTAGGATGCAGCAGTCTGTCACTGAAGGAGCTCTGCAGTTCAGCAACATTTACATGCATGGTTAGTATCTTTGATTGTATTCATAGTAGGCACAGGTTATTCCCACTCCAGTAAGGAGAGATCATTTATAATCTAGCTGCTCATCAGACTACAATGAAACTACACAAACTATTAACAATAGTAAGAAGTAGGGCATGACCCACTGATGTTGACTTGGATAAGAATCTCTGTCTGGTTAGAATGATGTTGAGATTAACACGAGGTGGGTCACATAAATGAGAGTCTGGAAGGTAGGATGACACAAGTACTGAGATGTAAAGCAAGTGGAATAGAGACTAACTCGAGAAAATGACTGGGCCTAAGTAATGACGACTGTATTGAGTTTGACATTGTGGGAAAGCAGGAGTGTTGTGAAGAACAGAATGGAAGAATTAGTGATTACAGATCTTTCCTATTAACCTTACACATGAGCTTTTTTCTATCACACACATCATGGTGATGCATTAAAAACTGAAAACAAGCACATTATACTTGAGTAGTGCTTATTTAAGCTGCACAGTACTTCAGTTAATTGACTCAAAAGGAAGAAAATGGCAACTAATAAAAAAATTCAAAATACATAATTTCATTTAAAAAAATATAAACAAATTAATTTGATAACTGTCTGTGTAGGTTCTCAGTCATTCAGGTCATGGTGATCTTAGGAGCTTGGAAAGAAAAATCATCTGGACGTTTCACCTCTCATCCAAGAAGCTTCTATAGTTTTAAAACCAATTGATGGCGAGTCCCAGGTATTTAAGTCCTACTGGGAGTTTTCCCTTATCAGGGTTGTTGACCCACTATTGATCATGTACCACATCACATGAGCCAAGGTATATGAAAAAGTGTGTGGGTCACTATCAGCAGAGGTTTGGGGTGAAACCATTGTGAGACCTTGCCCCACCCTATCATGTGACTTAGTTAAGTCACATGATAGGCTTGTACCAAAAGGTCTGGCTCAGCATTCAAAAGCAGCTACAGTGAGTTTAAGTGGGTTTGTCTTCACTACAGCTACTGTGCTGCAAGTGGCACATTGACCTTTTTTGCATACACCCGGCTGAACAGAAGTGCTGCAGGGTCTGCTCCAGCTCTCTGCACACAGTGCTATCTACCGCATTACCACTGCTTTGTTTGTTTTCATCTCACAATGCTGGTGGCATTTGGAACAGAGCGTTCTCTCTGTCTCTAACTCTTTCTCCTTTTTTCCCTGCAGCTTATTCAGACTCTGAAGAGGTTGATGAGACCCACCTCCGTTGAATTTAAGTCTCCACTAGAGCTGTCAGCACAGGGTGAGAGTAAAACATGCTCATCTGTAAACGGTTTCATTTAAGCTCTGGTAATAACTTTTTGCTGCAGATAACCCACTGATTCGACCGGTGATGCAGAACCACAACGTGCACACACACTAAAAAAACACATGTACAGTGTTTGTATTGATTTAATGCTACCATCCTCAGTGGTACTCTTTCTGAATGTTAATAGTGGGTATTAGTCAATGCCAGGAAGCTGCTTAGCTATAAAGAAAGCTTGTTAGGGAATATGAGCAAACACAGACTTGCGAACTCTTCTGAGCTTTTAACAGATACCTCATCAATCATTTCCCTGACATCTATGGATGCCACGCTAATTATTTTCCTATTAAAACATAATTATCCCAGCTGTGCTTTTTCCCATCCTCTGCTGACCCACCACACTCTGCTCCATCACCACTTTTGTCTCTTTTTCTCCACATACATAGAAAATGCAGCAGTGTGATAAAGCATGAAGCACTTGCTGTCGAAAGAAAAAAAATTGACAAGATAATCTAGCAAGCCAGAGATCATCTCTGGAACCTGATGACAGCCAGAAGATGAAACTTGGCATTCACGTTGGAGTTTATTATACACATTTTAAGGTCAACATATGCAGTGTAGATTGCATTCTGCATATTGAATAGTTGGCTAAGTGCACATATATTGCCTTGAGCACAGTGAAGCACTCATGCTTTCTAGGTCATTGATGAAAAAATATGAATTCCATAAATGGTAAATGGCCTGTATTTGCATAGCACTTTACTTAGTCCCTATGGACCCCAAAGCGCTTTACACTACATTCAGTCATCCAACCATTCACACACTGGTGATGGCAAGCTACTTTGTAGCCACAGCTGCCCTGGGGCACACTGACAGAGGCGAGGCTGCCGGACACTGGCGCCACCGGGCCCTCTAACCACCACCAGTAGGCAACAGGTGAAGTGTCTTGCCCAGGACACAACAACCGAGACTGTGAGAGCCAGGGCGCAAACCGGCAACCTTCCGATTTCAAGACGAACTGCCATGTCTTGAGCCACGATCGCCCCGTAAAATAAAAACATGAATATAAAATCCCTGTATATGAGGGGAGCAATTTTATCCTCTGAGAAAAGAACGTCTTATCCATTTTACTTTCAAGAGGTCAACAGCAACTAGAGGCAACTGGTGACTCAAAAAATGGAAGAGAGGAAGAAAACCAACCTGCGGCACCATGTTCCTTACAATAGCTGCTTAAGCTTTACTTTTTGTGACTAGTAGACAGTATATAGTCAGCTTTGGTCCTTGTTATGCCATTTATTTGTTTATTCCAACCAGTCATTTTATGTAATATATTGATCTCCCACTGTTTCTCATAAAAAACCTCATTGCACTCAGCTTTCACTTTCTATGAGCCATCAAATCTTGGGGGTAGAGTTTGGGTTAAGTTCGTGTCCAACCCTTTTATATAATTTTCACCTATTTGGATTACCCATATAATAAGGTTTATGACAAATAGACTGTAATGTAAAAGCAATGTATCGATCTTTCACTGAAAGGTAACGTCTAGTTTCTGAAAAACTGCCTTTTAGCATGTGATTAAATAAAAACCCAACCCTAAAGCTACTCCTAACCTTAGACTGTTTGCTAGTGACCTGGTGGATGTTAAAAGGCTGAAAAATGAATGCATTCCCTTTAACTTCAAAGCACTGTTCAACTGAAAGAAAAATCAGTTCAATTCAATTCAATTCAATTTTATTTATATAGCACCAAATCACAACAAAAGTTGCCTCAAGGCGCTTCATAGATACAGAGAAAAACCCAACAATCATATGACCCCCTATGAGCAAGCACTTTGGCGACAGTGGGAAGGAAAAACTCCCTTTTAACAGGAAGAAACCTCCGGCAGAACCAGGCTCAGGGAGGGGCGGCCATCTGCTGCGACCGGTTGGGGTGAGAGAAGGAAGACAGGATAAAGACATGCTGTGGAAGAGAGACAGAGATTAATAACAGATATGATTCAATGCAGAGAGGTCTATTAATACATAGTGAGTGAGAAAGGTGACTGGAAAGGAAAAACTCAATGCATCATGGGAATCCCCCGGCAGCCTACATCTATTGCAGCAAAATCAAAGTATTTAACCACATAGTCAGACCTGCAAGCAGCCAATCCAGTTCTGTGACTTATCTCCAAGTGCAGATAAGAGAATTCAACATGCTGAGTGCACTATCGACATATCAAAGGCTCATTAAGATTTTTGATTTTGCACCATGTAAAAAATGCCTCCTCCTCATCAATGCTTCATCTTTCTAACAATAACAGCAGCAACAGCAGTGAGAGTCACGACATCAGCCTGAGCTGCTGTTGTTAGCTTTGCCAGTCAAACACACATACACACTCCCAACAGCTGCTGAGAACCACGAAGCAGGACCAAAAAAAGCATGTTTCTTCAGTGATGTGGAAACTCTTCAGTTTTACAAAGTCTGACATCAAACACCAACTTATCCTGTGTAAAGTTGTTAAACCTCAGTTTGAACTAACAGTAGCAGCACAACACATCTGTTCCAACATCTAAGACTACAGTACCAGTGAAATGACAGTAACGTGGTTCGTACCTTTTCATTTCCCCTCTGGTCTGATTTTTTTTTTTTTTTTACATTTTCTAAATAATAATTAATATTTTTTCTAGCTGGACTTGAAACTGATATTTCCGTAAGCATTAAAATAGTCCTTCAACTCCATTTGGTTGTAATATTACTGGAACAGTGACAGATTATACCACCACACACAGCCAATGGCCCCAACTCTGACCCATATTTTGCTTCTTCCATAATCACAGTGATTTCAGCTAATTACATGGCGTGTCCATTGTTCATACTTTCACATTCATTAGGCATGTTTTCATCTACCTTTATGTGCACAACACTGTGTGGATAATCTGAGCGTAAGATAAATCACCTTTTTGAACAAATTTTGGGAAAAAACATTCATCCTATTATGAAAGTTTACCTCAGATTCCATATATGTTAAACTGGCGGTGGCACTCCGTTGCAAAGTGAGTTGAAGATCATGCAGCCATGTGCAGGTTAATCTCAACAAGAAATTTAGACTGGGATTGGATTCTGACTGGATGAGCCATCAGCTGATGTGTGCTTATGTTGAGAGTTGCCTGAATTGCTACTAAATATCTAGACCTACAAAAACTAACATCCAACTTCAGTCATCATAAATTTCACTAATTCCATGTAGGTCTTTCTCTGACCTGTCAAAGCATGGATACAGGACTTCTATAGGGGTTCTGTGGTATCTGGCACTGGGACTTTGGTAGCAGATGCTCTGCATCCTGGGGGTTGCATGTTGACGCTTGTTGTGGCACATTCTATAGATGCCTGATTGGTTTGGGATGTGGGGAGTTTGCCATGCTCCCTGAACCTTCTAAACCTTTGAAAAAAAGTTCTAAATAGTTTTTCATCAACTCTCTGGGTGAAGAGGGGAAGTTAGCTACTGCTAGGGTGTGTCTGATATGCCCGTTGGTGGTGTTTCTGCATCATCATAATAATGTTGGTCCAGGATCAACATTGCAATTGATCAGTCATTTGTTTGCAATATGGGGAAAAAAAAGAACACATGCCCTGTTTATATAAAACTTTCTTCTGGAACACATTTCAGGTGTTTTCTTCATTCATTTATACAGTATAGTAAATATTTATATTTAGATTGCTCATGATGTTTGCTAGTGACAGTTTTTAATAGGATTAGCTAATTTCATTCCTAATGCTTCCTAATTGCTCAGGCCACGTCAGTGGTCAGTTGCATTGTTGATCCTGGACCAAAGATATTATGATGACGGGGACATTAGATTGTGCGCTGCCCCTCAAGCCTTTGTTGGCATTCAAAAGGTGGAGGTTGGGGGTGGTGACTCAGTCTGCAGTAGTGTTTAGGTGGGTGGTATGCTTCCAAGAAACATGGTTTCAGTCACACCAATAAAGATGAGACTGAGCCAAATATTGAAAGCTGAAAGCACGCAACCCATATATTTTCTACATATACAAACACAATCTAACTCATCTTCAGTTATACGGTATGGAATTACTGTCACACAAGCCTAAAGATTGCCTTATATTCAGGCCAGTATGGCCAAGATAAATGTGAGTCAGGTAAAACCACCCAGCAAATGATGCCTCCAAAACATTTTTAAGAGTTAAGAGTAATTTGCTATTTACACACTCTGCATTTTCTAAGCATGCTTAATCTCTCTTTGGATGGATGCCAACAGCTGCACAGGTCAGGCCAGATAAACTGAAACCCCTGAACACAAATGCACTCTTCGTGATGTGCTCATTATTTGAGGTGAATGACCTGCAGTGTGCACAAAAACACTTATGTGGTCCCCAGAGTAACAAATAATGTAGCAGGCAAAGGATGATGTAACATACCTGAATTGTAGGGGTGATGCTGGATGAGTTCCGGTGATTTTGCCAGTATAGTGTGTGTGTGTGTGTGTGTGTGTGTGTGTGTGTGTGTGTGTGTGTGTGTGTGTCTGTGAGAGTGTGTGTGTGTTTCTAACCAAGGCTTCTTTTTGTTTTCCTCTGGCTGCAGGCAAAGAGATGATCGAAATGTATTTTGACTTCCGCTTGTTTCGCCTGTGGAAAAGCCGCCAGCACTCCAAGCTACTGGACTACGACGACCTCTTGTGACACCACCCAGTGTTCTGTTGGCTTGTCGGCCAGTTATTGCGAATCTGAGCCTACCTTTGTATGGTGTCAAGGCATTTGGTTGAAGTGGGGGGGCTCCTCTCCTCTCCAGAGAGGTTCCTAGACCGGCTCTGTGTCCGCAGCTAGAAGCTGGAGCAGCAGTGGAGGCAGCAGCAGTTGGGTCTGTTTTTGTAAGCCCTTCTGAAGTGATGGGGTGTGGCCCTGTAGATTCAGCCGGTGGTGTGCTATCTCACCTGCACCTATTTTCACTTTCTGCCTCTGCCTAACCCTAGAAAAGAGAAAGAAGGGGGACAAGAGTGAGTTGGAGAAGCAAGTGACTCATCATCCTAGCCTAAATGTGTCAGAAACGCCAACTACACTTAGATTTCTGAGTTCAGAGAGACTATTAGATACAAGAGTGACAGTGGAGAATCTCTGTCTGAGATGTGAGGATGTTTTTTTCTTGTCCCACCTTTAGCCAACCTATCTACTCTTGTTAGGAGGCTTATAAGTATGGATTTATAAGTTATTTACAAAGGAATTAGAGCTTATATGTAAATAAACAAGTGCTTGCTAGAGCATAAGAGAATACATTTTCAGCATCTCTCGCCATGCTGTCATGTGATAATCTGGACATGTGATTAGTCTTATTAAGAATTAGAGTTGTCTATTTACTGCAGTCTTTTTTTAAACCTTCATATAAATGTAATAGTGTTTCTTACAGACTGTTGTAATAACTCAGGTCAAATTATTTTGTTTTCTACTAAGAATTGTACTCACCTGTACAACATACTGTAGATCAGAATCAAAGGCCTTCATACTCCACACAGAGTCATCTTCAGTGGAACATCAGGGATGAGCGGAGCTTTTCTCCATTTTCATCTCGCCTTTTGAGTCAGCTGTAGCCAAACAGACAGATGCATCCATGCATATTTTTCATAACATTACAGCATTGTGTTTTAGCCCACTGAGCCACTGCTAGCTGATTTTTCTTGAGCTATTGGTTCGTGGGCTCAAAGCCTTTTGCAGTGTTTGTATTGCACATGTGCATTCAAACCCTTCTTGCATAGCTAGCCTCTAAAGAGGTTTCAGTTGGAGGCTGACATCAGACTCTTTACAGTGAGTGTAATATAGTGCATATTTAGTTCATTCCAACAGTTTTTCACATTTTTGGAGAACTTTCATTCTTTATTTAGCTTGGACATCCAGTGGAGTGGTAGGGGCGATGCGATCCTTTGACTTATTTTTGTTTCCCCTCACCACCAGCTTGTTGTTTCCATCTCAACATACTCTTAATCTTAATCATATAACAGCAACAATGTGTCCCAAATGCTGTCTTTGCCATGCTTATTTCCAGCATTACAGTCCACTGTAAAATGTTTTGCTGTAGCAAGATTTTAAAGATGCACAGGTGTGATTTTGTGTTTTGCTGCCCTACAGTTGGGGCGTTTCAGTCAGACTGACAAATGGTTCAAGCTGAGGCAGCAGAGGCTGAGATAGCTTCATCTTCATTCTTCTTGTTCCATTCGCAAGATTCTACATTTCCCACAATGCAACATGACTGCTTTTTTTCTTGAGCTCCTCTTGGAATGACAAATGTCTGAATTCTAAATTTAAACTTTGTGTGACACAAAGTTTTGCGGTACTGTTTTTCCTTTTCTTTCTTTCAAAAAAATGTGTCATCCAAGCTAAATGACATCATCTGTAGGAATATTAAGCTCCACTCAGGGGCTTAGTGTTGTGTAGATCAACAAATACAATAATGCCATATAGCTGATCATTGCACACTTAGTTTACAATAATAATAAAAGTTTTGGGGGACTGTGCTGCTTAGAAATACATGTACTGGTATTGAATATGAGTATTGAATATGAGTAAAAATGGACAGGATGAGTGATATTTACATTGTCTCATCTCAAACTTGTGCTGATGTGGTCATGTCCTCTGTTATATAATAACTTTTTCCTCCCTTCTGCACCCTCAGACCAAAGCACTCTTTCTTATCCGCAGCGTAAGCTGAGAAAAAGCGCTTTGTTTCTTGTTTCTTCTGTGCAGTTTGCTCGCAGAATGAAAATTAGTGTTTGGATTTGGGATGAGTTGTGATATTTTTAAAGTAACACAAGGTGTGTTGTTCATGATATGTTTACTAGTCTCTTATACTGTGTCCTGTCTGCATTGTAAACATAGTTCACTGCTTATTTTTCCACAAATTCCAAGCTTTGTTGCAGCTTCTTGGGCCATCCACATCAGCTGACCTGGAATTAGTTTTCATGAAGCAGTCTTGATAGGTAGAAATTACAAAAGACCTCTGAAATCTATTTTATTTACTACATTTAACTACCAAACAGCTTAAAATATGTCCCTCTTATTTAACTGTTATTGCGAGAGTTTTTGTGTTCATGGGACCGAAATCTCAAATTTAGAATAGTGGGTCATAATTATGAGTGGTATTGTATAAGCTGCAGAGATAAGGTCTCTTACATGTTTGATTGAATGCAATCTTCTTCCACATATACCTGTTACCATGACATTTGCTATGTTTGCTGTGTCTTAAATCACATACTTCTATATTTAAACTCATTAATTTGAGTTCGACATTGTGTTCAATATCAAGTACTGCTCCACAAAGTGCTGCTTGAGTACCTAGAAATGTGGCACATTTCTCAAGCTCAAGGGTCACTGTTAGCTAGCAGATAGACTGCTAGCTAACTGGTAGTCCTTCCATAAGAGATTTTTATTTATTTATTTTTTGTTAAGGGTAGATTTTTTTTTCTTCAGGCACTGAAACTAGCTTTGTTAAATTGTTTTGCATATTGCAAATGCCATTAATGGTGAGTGCATGACTGGTCAGCTCTGATTTGAAACAAGCCTACCTGGTAAATCCATTTACTAAACAAGTAGCTATATAGTGTACATAAAGCACTAAATGAAAAAGTATTTGAATTGAGACACACTGTACTTAAACAGGCAGGGATACAATGCTGCTACATACTCTTTTATTCCACGAAGCATGTATCACCCAATCTCTGTCACAAGCATTGTGATAATTTGGTGTAATCAAAGGAAAAACGAAGACCTTTCTAGTTCCATGGCTGCTCCTGGTTTGCACCATTAAGTCATGCAGCATATTGTCTCACATGGCATCTGGGTCTTCGAATTACCTCAAATGCAGAGAGAACCAGGGATTTATTTGTTAGGGAATATTTAATGGTATTTTCTCTACTGCTACCTTTTTAATTTTCATAAATGTTATGCTCAGTAGAAAATATTGTACATTTTCATTGTACAGTTTGTGTTTTCTTTTTTTTTTTGGTGTTGGTGGATTACGTGTAAGGACTTCATTATACTTTCCATGTGAGTGAGTCTATTAGGCTCAGGTTGGGTCTAAATGATTTTGTCATGAGACAGTGAGCCAGTCTATGCAGATGTCTGCATGGCTGGCTCTTTTTTGACTGTGGACACTGGAGATTTTACATTACTGGACAACAACCAGATGGCAGACTTCAAGGGGACGTGAAAGAATTACGACAGGGATGACTTCTTGGCCCTCATGTCTCCTGTACATGTCTGAAACATAGTATAATCAATGCTTGGAGCAACCCATCTAGGGCTGGACTCAGCGGTAGGGTTTGCGTTAATGTCCACTCTGTTTGATAGAATTTTCTTATTTGGAATATTCAAATGGAAAAGCTTTAAACAGAAAAAAATGTGCCTAAAACAATACCCAACCCTAAACCACCCCCAGGTGTATCAGTGAAGATATGATGTTTATTAAGAGGTCAGTTTTAAGTGACCTCTAGTTTGAGTCCTTAACTGCAACTTATTAGAAGCTGCGCCAGGTTGTTAACATTAATGCACAATATTGAGTGCTGAGTGTGTTAGTGCTGTGGAAATGTGCATTATGCTAAACTGGTCATCTGTTCTAGAACAGGTAATCCCTCTCCTCCTTTGTTATTCAATCAGCCTTTGATTGTGTTTGCTGATCAAACCGCCAACTGTTACTTCAAACAGGAGGCGGCTGTTCAGTATTTAAATTGTAGTAGTATTTTACAGCCGTTGTGTACAGTCTGGCTAGTTTTGCCTGTTCACCTTGTTTACATTAACGTCAAACTTAGTTGAGGTTGGTGTAAGTTAGTGTAACTCTCAGGCAATTATACAACTTTCAATGTTTCTTTTCCCTTTGTTCAGGCTTTATGAGCGTTTTGGACTAATCATGTGAGGTCGTGCCTGTCCTTTGTGCCCAGTGATCTCTTTGCTTAAAGGTGGTTCTGATCTTAAAAATCGTTGTACATTCATGACTTTCCTTCATGAAGATATGTATTTGTTTAAAGATCAAATACTTTCCCAGTTTGTATTCTGTAGCAGTAATCAGTGTAAGAATATTTCTGTATTGGTATTTCAATTTGTATATTTGTATGTACAAGAGCATTGTTGGAGGTACTGTACGAGATACCTTTGGATTTTAATGACTGTCTTACAATTCTGTGGACAGAAACAGACACTGCAGTGTGTGCAGTGTGCTCGCTGCTCGGCTTCTTTATATTCTGCAGCAGTTTAGCGCAGCCCTAGTTCTGCTCATACGACCCTCTTCTTTCTCCTCTGCTGCGAGTTTAAATAAAGGCCAAAGCCCAGAGCGTAATTACACACCTCTGTTCGACACTTGTAACCACATCTTAAGTCGAGGTGTTTAATCGTGCTCTTATACTAAAAACTGGCACAAGTTTGATGGATTTCTAATGAGTTTTCTGATAACAAAGACAACAGAGACTTTACTGGAGATTCATTATCTGCTGTCAAGCCCACAACATTTTCCCCATGGCTCTGATCAGATAAAACACTTAGCTCTCCTGCTGGAACATAACGCATCAGTGCTAACATTGAGGAAGAGCCCGAGCAGTGTAAAACAATTCGCAGACTTTGTAGACTAGAGCGGTTTTGAGTCACATTCCCATGGCAAAGTCAGGTAATGTGGGACATCAGAGATAATAGATCAGATCTTTGAATATTACCAGTGAAACACCAAACAGAATTTTACAATGCTGCTACAAAAATCTTTTACATGAAACAATTAGGCTGATTGGTTTGAACTTACTAAGACGAGTTGAGCAAAGATTTTTTTTTTTTTTTAAAAGATCATTGTTCCAAAAACTTGCACTGTACTGAAAAATGATAGTTATAGTATATTATGTCATTTTGAGAAATATTCAAATAATAACCTTTGCTTTGAGGATAATTGCTTTAAGAAGCAGAGTGACTCTTCCATTAAGTAAATTGGGTCAAAAAGGTTAGACTACATGAGTTATTCTGCTGCTTGCCAGAATCGCAGGTTAGACATTTCTGGCATTTTTAGTGCTTAAAAATATGAAAGTTTACGCAGTGACTACATATCAACCACAATTATCTTGAACTGGCCATTGTTACATACACAGACTACGAAAACTCCAGTATCACAGAATCACACAGTGAAAGTCAATAATTATGCTTTGTGATTGGAGTAGTAATTGCCTTTAATTTTTTATGAAATGAAGGCGTAATCAATTTTCTTTCTCAGTTGTCCCCTTTCACTTTTGTTTGTCCCTATCATTTAAATATGATCAGCAAGTGGAGAAACCCCTAACCAAGGTCACATGAAATACTTCTGAAGATAATACTTTATCTAATGGGAGAAATTTTGTTTCCAAATATCTAAAATCACAGAGAGAAGCTTCAGTGTCAGGTATCTATAGGCTACTGGGTTTGTTACTACAGTATCCTCCCAATTCAGAAACAAAGCATACATTATTTCATTAACAATGTTATTGATCAGCAATATTGACCAGTGTCGCTTTAAGATAAAAAGTAAACACCTGTACATATTGGCAGTGGAGAAAGCAGGAAACATCATATTTTTTAAAGGAGTTGAGCAGCGACTGCCTTGGCAAACTTTGGTTTGGGAAGCTTTGACAAAACTCTGGCATTAAAACATGACTCATGTCTGGGATGTTAAGCCTCTTCTAATAAGGTCGGGTATTCATATATGTGCAGATGTATTTCAAGGGGAAATGACCACACGCAGTTTGACTTCTCGTCATGGTTCACCGAAGCAGCCATTTCCATTTCTTGAGAGGATAATTACATAAATCAAGAGTTTGAGCTTTGCCTCCTCTCTTGTTATTTTCCACGTGAAACTGTGTGTCATATTGACAACTGCAAAGATCGCTCAAATTATTATTAAGCATTGTTGTGCCCTCCCTCCTGCTTTGTTCTAGTTTCAGTGAAGATTTCCAAGGCTCAGTTGGGAATGAGTGTGATGAGGATGATGAATTGACGCTGCTTTGATTGCCCTGACATCTCCAGTTGGGCTGTGATTGTATTTCTGGAAGTTTTGAAAATAATATGTCTATGTAATGTCTGTGTCATTTTGGATCAACTTCTAAATAATTTAACTGAGCATTACATTTTGGAATAGATTTTTTAGTCCAACACAGTAGAGTGTGAGATTTATAAATGTTACAGTGAGCTTCATCCATGTATATGGATAGAGAAAATCTTAAAGGTATGATAGCAATTAACATTACTGCATATAGTGATTTTGATACTAGCATAAGTTAAAACTATTATCTGGGTAGCTTTCCTGAGCTTTGGGGTTTCTTCCTTAGAATAGACATTAGAGAATGCTTCTTATTTCAAGGGCAATGTGTTGTATCTGAACTAATAGCAAGGAAATGTTTTTGCATTGCACAATGTTGGTAATAACCTGTGAGAAAAAGTATTGTTTCTACAGCATTTCCTCCCCCAAGTAAACTATAGTTAAACACAGCTTGTGTCTTTGTCTTATCATTGATTCAGTGGTGTCATTTTGGCCCCCAGGAAGTTTTACCTGGTTTACATTTCGTGTAGCTTCATAAGTAAAAAGATCCTCTCATGCTAAAAATGCAGGTTGGGTTGTGATGCCACAGTGCACTTTGGGATAAAAGTCCCCATCTTATTAAACTTTCTCTTTGTGTGCAGAATGCATGAAATTTTCTTCTGAGCACTCATGCAGTGAAATAGCCACAGTAACATATTTAGCATAAAATTGTGCAAACATGTATCAGTTACAGAGTGTTGCTAAGGCTCTGTAATGCAGAAGTAAATGCTAAATCTAATATAGCAGCACAGTCACAATGATGCACTAACAAGGAACTTCTAACTACTCAAGAACATGCACTTTCTGGACCTCCAGTTTCACTGGGGGTACTCACAAGATCGTTCCAAATGAATGGGGACCTATGGAGTTGAAGCATAAAAATGTTCATTTTGTGGGGTAAATGTTCTTTTTTTCACGTAAATGGAAGTATTACAAGTACCTAGAGGATGGATGGCCATCAAATTCTGGTTCTCAGAGGATAAACTCGAAATACTTCAATAACACTTTAACATTTATCACACTTTGTCTTGTCATTTTCCATTTATGGTATGGAAAATGTCTGGATTACTATGGGCTGTGTTCCCATGGTGATTTTCAAAGCAGATTCACCATATTCAAATTGGTTGTTTTAAGATGTTAAAAAGCCAGAAGCGGAGTTTAGCAATGATAAATATTAGTGTGCATACAAAAAGACTTGGAATAATGATGCATATGATAATGTTTTCTTTTAAAGGCAAAAATACCCAATCACATTTGTCAAGACTGATATTGATGTAAAATTAAATATTACATAAATCAAAAATAAAATCTGTACAGTTATCCTAGTTCTCCAGAATCAGACAGAAATTATATACACCAGAGATTTTTGAAGTTCATAATATAGAAGCATCCTAGAGTACAAATATGCATATGCTGCTCTGCTGTGAGTATCAAATATAGTTATTGTGTTAACAGATGGAAGTAGCATATGTTCAGAGGCTGCAGTGATGCATTGTAAGCTGCAGCTACAAATTTTCCAGATGGAACAGCCATTGATAGCACGCACGGACTCATAACTAGCTGTGTTGCAGACTAAGGTAACATGTTAAATGTGCAGGGCAATCAAAAACACTTCATTCTACATTATTATGAACACACATCATGAATTCAGTACTACCCTACTCAATTACACAGGGACACTGCAGCCAGCACATGTTGGCAGCCTTACAGCAACCACCATGTATGAATAATAGAAGAAAGGGTGGAGAGGACCAGACTACAGAAGCACAAGACCAGAGTTAGTGCTCAACACTCAGGGGGGTCAAATTGCAGAAGTGTATGTGTGTACCATACCATACTCTACTCACAAGCAATTTATTATAGACCTGTTAAACTGCTCGTTAATACAAACGTCTAATCAGTCAGTCTATGGCACCACCTGCTTATCTTAGGCATGTAAACATGGTTGAGATGTTCTGCTGAATTTCCGCTGCAGTATTTTTTTGAAGAATAGGTGTTGCCACTCAGACACTACCTCCACATCAGTGCTGTGTTGTGTTTTTTCCAGGATATCTCTTCTTTTCAAACTGTTGCAACATCTCCCTTTGTATAATCTGTGAGTCTGTGAGCATCTGTACTGACATATCTTTATAAAAGCATTACAGCTGTATACAAATGTGTCTTCATCCCACAATGTGCAAGGTTATAAAAATCAAGAGAGAGAAACTAGTGACAGTGCACATGACATCAATTAGACATCAACTCTATCATACAGTGCTGTTCACGAGCCACTGGTGGTGGGTATACTGGGGCCCTTCAGTTCTGCTTTGAAATTCAGATAGCAGGATCAGAATTTTGCATGAACAACATGAAAGCATGGATCCATCCCGTCTTTAGACTGGTGGATTAATGGTAAGGGAAATGTTTTCTTCCCACACTTTGAGCCTCATACTACGAATTACTTGCTAAAACACCAAGGCCTACATGAGTATTATTGCTGAACATGCCCTTCTCTTTATGACCGCAGAGTATCCGATTTCTGATGGCTGCCTGTCACTAAGCTCAAATCCTCTCAAACTAGTTTCTTGAACATGACAATAAGTCCACTGTACTCAAATGGCCAAAGAGCATCTCTGGGATTTAGTGGAACAGGACAGTTGTATCATGGATGTGCAGTTGGCAAATATGCAGAAATTGTGACGCTATCATGTCAGCTTTTGGCTGTTCCCTTGTTAGAAGGGGTCACCACAGCACATAGCTCTGCATTTTTGATTTGGCCAGATGGAGGCAAAAAAGTTACTATTCAGTACAAGCCAATGCTTTAATTTAATACAATCCAGTACTGTCTACTGCTACTTCGGTTTTCATATGTATGAAACATTCAGAAAATAACTGATCTCATAGCAGTGAAAGCTGAGCCAGTGACCTCCTTCATTTAGATTAGCAGAGTTGATGTCTTGATGTATTGTATTTTATTGCCTTGCCAGTCCCCTCCCTTTCACTCCTCTTCAAGGTGGTCACAGAGCAGATTTTATTGATTATAAAAAGGGTGATGTTGTTTCTCAAGGAGATCCTTTACGGTCTGGATGATGTAGTCATGCATTACGAGATCTTATTAAGTGGTGAAATGTTTCACAAGCGTTTTTTACTTTTCCTCGAAGAATAGGGAAGGTTTAGACTTTGGGTTTCAGGTTGACACCAAATCTTGGCAAATCAACAACAATAATAATACATATTCAGTTTCTAGTCATGTAGAAGAGATTTGTGAACACCTGGGGATGACAAGAGGATGACAAGCAGACGGTCTGACAAGGAACAGAGGGAAACACACTATTATATAAACGCACAAAGGTAATGAGGACAATAGGAAACAGGAAGGGAGCACAGATGAGACCAATAAGACAAGACTAGACAAGGAGGAGAGCAAAACTAAAAACATTAACAGTGGGAAATACAGGAAAACAGGAAATACGCAAACTTAGAGACAAGGATGACTAGAGGTAACACAAGGGAGGCACAGTAACAAAACCTAAAGACTAGAAAACCAAAACACTAAAGAATGACTAAAGGAGCTAGAAATACAAAACTAAACCATGAAAACTAAATCACAGAATTGAACAAAAAACTGGTTCTCAAGGCCCAGGACCATGACAGATTTCTTACTGAGTCTCCTATTGATTGGGTTCTTGTTGGCTCTGGGTTGAGAGTCACCACTACTGCTAAGCAGCATATCAAAGACATTGCATTTGTGGAAATTAATTGCACAGAGTGTGGTCAAATGTTTGTAGATGCTGGAGGTATTTCCCCCATTTGCAATGATCAGTGTGGTGTCATTACTGAAATGTATTATGTAATGTATTGTTTGCATGTGCGTCATCTTTCTGTCTATAAACACGATAGTCTGTTTGGATCGAAATCAGATAAAACTGTGCAGGGTGTAGAGTGGGGTCATGCTAACAATCCATTACAATCTGGCTCACATCCACCAAGGTCTTTAGGGTCAACTTAATGATTAATTGGACTAAAATTGACAAGAAGCCTTATAACATGATACTCAGTGTGGTGTGTGCATCTATAGAACATTAAGGAGCTACCATATAAAGATTATATTTTTCATCATATTACATTTGACCTCTGACCTCTCCTATGATGTCAATTGATGTAAAAAAGGATCTCAAGTTCATATGTTATGTAAAACTATTTGAAACTATGTCTTACAGCCACTGTTTGCACTGACTGCATATAGACATACAGGGAATAATATGTGAGGATTCTAAACATCATGTTACTTAAATGTCAATCTTTCATCAAATGTCTTAAAACTATGCTTAAAATGGTACAGCCTTTGTTTATGTTGGCAACATTTAGGAAATGATACTGGTAAAAGTAAATAGTGTTCAGAGATTGAGCTGCCTTGGCAGAGGTATTGGAGGGGCCAATGCAGTGCTTAACCTCCTTAGTTTTTCCAGTGAGGTCAGTTATGGCAGAACCCAGTCTGAGACAAGCAGAGGAGCTCTGGAGAAGGCTAGAAAGAAACACATAATCAAAACTGATAGAGTACAAGGTCTGACTTTTGAGCAATCCCAGATGAGAAAGAAGACACACACTGTCAGGGCAAGTTTTTAAAAAGACCAACATCTTTGTTAAAGACACTGCTTCACACTACCAGTTAAACTGGCTGAGGAGGGAGAACGTGTTCACGAATTCTGAAACTGAAAAGAAGTTTAAAAATGTCCCTATAATTACAAGGAGTGCAGAATTATTAGGCAAGTTGTATTTTTGAGGAATAATTTTATTATTGAACAACAACCATGTTCTCAATGAACCCAAAAAACTCATTAATATCCTTGTTCACCTGATCTGAACCCCATTGAGAACCTGTGGTCCATCATCAAATGTGAGATTTACAAGGAGGGAAAACAGTACACCTCTCTGAACAGTGTCTGGGAGGCTGTGGTTGCTGCTGCACGCAATGTTGATGGTGAACAGATCAAAACACTGACAGAATCCATGGATGGCAGGCTTTTGAGTGTCCTTGCAAAGAAAGGTGGCTATATTGGTCGCTGATTTGTTTTTGTTTTGTTTTTGAATGTCAGAAATGTATATTTGTGAATGTGGAGATGTTATATTGGTTTCACTGGTAAAAAATAAATAATTGAAATGGGTATATATTTGTTTTTTGTTAAGTTGCCTAATAATTATGCACAGTAATAGTCACCTGCACACACAGATATCCCCCTAAAATAGCTAAAACTAAAAACAAACTAAAAACTACTTCCAAAAACATTCAGCTTT